ACAACAGATGTTCAAGAAGTGGAAACGATATAAACTATTTTACCTTCTATTATTCTAATTTTAATTGCCCTACCATCTTTAAGGATTCTCTATACAATAGACAAAATTTACAATCCTTCTCTAACTGCTAAAAACTATAGGACATCAATGACATTGAAGCTGTGAATACGCAGATGATGAAGACCTAAATTTTCATTCTTACATAATCCCACAACAGATCTTAAATCAGGAGAATTGCAACTAGTAGAAGTTGATAACCAATTTATATTACCCATAGAAATGACAATTGGTATATTAATTTCATCTGAAGTTGTTTTATATTCTTGAACCATCCCCTCTCTAGGCTTAAAAATAGACACTGTTGGGAGCCAACCTGTGGCCAAATGGTTAAGTTCACATGCTCTGCTTCTGCGGCCACGGGTTTCGCTGGTTTGGATCCTGGGCGTGGACATGGCACCACCCATCAGGCCATGCTGAGGCGGCGTCCCACATAGCACAACCAGAGGCACTCACACCTAGAACATACAACTATGTACTGGGAGGTTTTGGGAAGAAGAAGGAGGAGAAAAGAAAAGCAGATTGGCAACAGATGTTAGCTCAGGTGCCAATCTTTAAGAACAAAAAAAACAGACACTATTCCAGGATGCCTCAATCAAACAACTTTAATATCTACACAACCAGGCTTACATTACAATGTTCAGAAATTTGTGTATCAAACCACTGCTTCAGGCCTGTTGTACTTGCATTAGTTTCACTAAAATATTTTGGAAAATGATCAGCAGTGATAATATAAAAACCATTGAGAAGCTAAATGCATTAACCTTTTAAGTTAAAGACTGAGAGTTTTAATCCCGCCTCAGTGACATGCCGCAACTAGATGCATCAACATGACTCATTATTATTGTCTCAATGATTACAGTATTATTCATTATATTTCAATAACAAATTTCAAAACACTTTAATCCTCAAAGCCGGAACCAAGACAATTGAAATATCAAAATACTCAACCCCCTGAGAGACAAAATGAATGAAAATTTATTCACCTCTTTCATTACTCCGACAATGATACTTATTGTTGTTTTAATTATTTTATTTCTAGTGTTTTATTCCCTACATCTAATCACCTATTCAATAATCATTTAGTTTCTATTCAATAATGATTAATTTGACTTATATCAAAAGAAATAATATCTCTACATAATGTTAAATAATGGACTTTTTTCCTAATACTTATATCACTTTTCTGTTTACTCATTCAACAAATTTACTAGGCCTATTACCCTACTAATTTACATCTGCTACACAATCCTCAAGAAATTTAGGTATAACTACTCCTTTATGAGCAAGACAGTAATTACTGCTTTTGGCCATAAGACCTTAGCCCATTTTTTACCACAGGTACAGGTAATTATGCAATTAGGACAAAGATATTTTGGACACAGTAAGTTTGATTGGCAAATAGATTGCGCCAGCTAAAATGGAATGGGTGTATTTCTACTTACTGACATGATTAATCTCCCTCTGATGACAAAAGTGATTTCTTAACAAATCAAGTAGGTTTTTATCTGGTCTTTATTTTGCTTTCGAAAGTTCAAAAGCAGCTCTTGCTCCAGGCACAGAAATGATTACTGAACATCACACACTTGCCTTCTATTTATCTTTGAATAATGAGGCAATATCAGACTCAGAGACTCGTACCGAGATGGCTCATTTTGAAAATATCCCCTTTGAGTAAATTTCCTAAGTCTCAATTTTTCAGAAGGATAACTCTTTCAACAAAAGAGCCATTTAAAGATGCATTTATTGGCTTAACAGACAACAGGGCTGTAAAAATTACTTCTTTAAAAAAAAAATGTGTTAAGACTTTAAGGTCAAGTACCTGGTCGAGTTTTATACACTCCATGGAAATACTTAAATGCAAATACCCGTTCAAGGATGTAAGGTACTATATACACATATTTACATAATATACGTATTACATATAGTCTTATTTACCGATTTGTGATATCTAGTCCCTCTGTGTCCTTACTTATCTATTTTGTTTGTTTATTAGAAGAGAATAATTCTGACAGAGTTATTTTAAAAATTTCCCCTAAATTTTGAATGCATTTTCAAATCAAGTTCTTTTTGGATTTTTAGCTGTTTTTTGCTTTCTGTATTTAGCTGCTATGTTTGGTTCATATATGCTTATGACTGTTATCTTCATCAAGTAATTCCTTGCAACACTAGGATTACTCCTGGTATCTTTTATTCTTTTTTTCCTTTTTCTCCCCAAAGCCCCCCATCACATAGTTGTGTATTTTTTTAGTTGTGGGTTCTTCTAGTTGTGGTATGTGGGAGGCCGCCCCAGCATGCCCTGATGAGCAGTGCCACGTCCGCGCCCAGGATCGGAACCTGCAAAACCCTGGGCCGCCGAAGTGGAGTGCGCGAACCCAACCACTCGGCCATGGGGGGGCTCCACTCCTGGTATCTTATAGCCAGAAAAATGCAGTCAAGTACCACACGCAAATTAAGCAATAAATCAGTATGTAGATATTTCATTCAGTAGTATTAATTCTCAGGACCTTCTTTCTTTGATCATGGCCCCTTTCTGTTCTGTTCCATTTGCATCTATCTCTGAACCCTTGATTTTTCTCCTATTTGAGTCCCCACTCCTGCCTTTTGGATTGGTGGCTCATCTTGGCTTTGCTACCTTAATCCTCATTGCTTTCTAAAATTGGGCCTGATTCTCTCCACTTCTTGACCCCTCAGATAGGATACCTTTCCTTAGTTCTAACTACCTGTGATCACAGTCCCATTTGGGTCACTAGGTGCTAGGCATAATTCTCCTTTGTTTCCTCCTCAGGATAATCCAAATAACTTACCATCTGTGAGAAGAAATTTTCTGTGTATGTAAAGTGTCTAGTGTTTTTCTATTTAAGAAAAAACGCTTTTGGACATTTGCTCTTCAACAGCACTCTGACTCAGACCTAGAACCTATCTGGATAGACAAAGTTTACTTTGCTCTTCCATTCATTCACACATGTCTGATCATGAGATACCGAGTATTGGAAATCAATGATCTCTTATGAAGTAGGACTAACGCAGTTCTCTGGGATGCAACTAATCTGGAAGGGAATGTGTACAACAGTGGGACTTGTCAGTTAAGGACTTGTTTCACTTGGATTTGTGTTTATTTTGTTGGACTTTTTAAATATTCTTTTACATCATTCTTGGTCATTGTTGAGGCCTGTTGGGATTCATGACCTCTATTTGTAAGCAGATGATAAACAGATGGAATTGATAACTTAGTGATAGTCCTGGAGAATGGGTGCAGCTTCCAGCCATGTCTCCACCAACTGGAGAGTAATTCTGCCTTCTTGCCTCCTTTCTGAGGTGGGCAGGAGTGGAATGAACACCTTTAACCCACTACAGAGAGATCCATCAGGACAGGCAAAGTGAATTTGCAGGAGGCATATTCATTTCAAAATTCTCTTCCCTAGGAAATTCCTTAAAAGCACAACTACGTGCTCACACTTTGCAGCTTGTTAGTAACATCGCCAGACAGAAGACCCGCAACCCCCTGAATCCATTGTTCACTAGAATAATGTGATTTCTCTAAAGTAGGAGTAGACCTGAGGCCAAATCTGGCCCCATATTTTTTTGTATGACTTGCGAGCCAAGCATGGCTTTTACATTTTCAAATATTGGGAAAAAAGTCAAAAGAAGAATAATATTTCATAACACACGAAAAATATGAAATTCAAAGTTCAGCATCTATAAGTAAGTTTTATTTGGAACTTAACTATGCCCTTCAATTTACATATTGCCTATGGCTGTTTTCACACTGCAGTGGCAGAGTTGAGTAGTTGGAACAGAGACTGTATGGTCTGCAAAGCCTAAAATATCCTTTATCTGGCCCTTGCATAAAAAACTTGTCAATCCCAGCTCTAGGGCCTATGGGAGCAAGGGAGGCGCCATATCCCTCTGGGTATATACAAAATGACCATGTCTTTACGAGCTTGTATAGACGCCTCCTCTATGCAGTTATGGGGACTGTACAAGTCAAGGAATAGAAAAAAGAGAACGAGCTAGTAGAATCTCCTCCAACCCTTGCAACAACTGAGTAGGACAGGTAGTAATAGTAGAGTATCCCCATTTTATTAATGAAGAAATCAAGACATGGAGAGGTTAAAGGACCTGCCCAAGGCCACACGACTATAAGTGACAGAACTAAGATTTGAAATGTCTCTGGCTCTTCATCTCACCGCACTTACTTAGAGATAAACATTACCGTCTCCAAAAGACATAAAAAAGCAAAATTCCTCAAGAATTAAATATATGCCAGCTTATGCTAAGTATCACCTACTTAATGAAGAGACTCACTGGGTAAAATAATTGAGGTGTCATAATTTTAAGTGATGCAGGAATATGGCTGAAAGGGAAACAATTTTTAGAAATTTCACTTTATTTCATGACTGGGAGTTAGGTGCAGTTTATTTAGTCTTACTGCCAACATAATTTTACCCAGTACTAGGGGATCAATTTCTGGAATTTGATCTTTTCTGTGGCTACACATTGTTCCCTGTATCAAAGAAATACAAACTTGAGAAATCCAGACCTTTGGCCACAAAGGGCAAAGGAAAGGATAGGAGGAAAAGGAGCAGAGAAATCCATCTTCGCTGCTGGGATATGTCAGCTAAGCAGCTGGTTTTCTACAGTAGTGGCGGGCTACTGTGAGATACCCACCAAAGAATTAGGAGTGAGAAAAATAAGGTGAGCTTTGAAATAGCACATAATTAAAGGCAGCAGAAATCTGCAGAGTCGGCAGAGAGAAACGGCCTGACTCCCAGGCCAAGCATCCGGGAGCATAAGGAGTAGATCCTGTTTTCTGTCACTAAAGGGAACTCAGAGACTGGGCAGCCCGAAGGGCTGGCACAGAGCCCTGTCCATCACAGTGAATTGACGGTTGCCCTCACTTGTTAGAGGACCAACAAATGAATATCTCTTTAAGAGCGGCTCCTCCTATTTTCCAACAATCATCTCCCCAGTGTTGGTTCACGGAAAGTCTTTTATTCTTTCAAACTGCCCAAACAACTTGGACGGGACCTAAACGTACAGAAGAAGGGAAGATAAGGACAAGGTAGAAAAGGTAAAAAGGATCATATTGTAATGGACTGAGAGGGAGGGGGTGGGGGGGTGGGCAAATGGAGAAGGAACATGCTGTGGTTTATACCAAATATGGCCAGAATGAGGATGACATGTATTCAGGTAGATTTTTTTGTTGTTTTTTTTAGAATTAAGGATCATGATTCTTGTCATTCAAGTCTATTTCTCTGCATATCTATGTGATTTTGTCCAAAAAGAAAAAAAATAAAAGTATAGAAAAATTAGAAGTAGGGCCTAAAGATAGTGCCAGGAACAGGAAAAGATTAGGAAATGTAATTTTCTTAGAAGAGAATGGAGGTTGAGGAGGGCCATTAATGGGAAGAAATTGTTTTGGATGAAGAGACTTCTCTTTTTAATTAAGAAGGTGAAGAACATTGTTAGGAGAGGAAAGAGGGTGCCCACCTGGCGTACTGAAATACAGACGTAGCCAGACTTTGTTCCTCATCACGTCTTAAAGTAGAAAGAAGAAATAAATAAAAATATATGTGTGGGCGTGTGTGTGTGTGTGTATGTACATATGTACACACATGTACATATATGTTTGTTTCTTCATTCATACATATAGTTGTGGATATGTGGATATTTCAGTATTTATGCATACACATATATATACGGTGGTCCTCCCTAATGCACAGGGGATATGGTCCAAGATGCCCAGTGGATGCCTGAACTGTGGATAGTACTGAACCCTACATAGACTATGGCTTTTCCTATACAAACATAACTATGATAAAGTTTAATTTATAAATTAGGCACAGTAAGAGATTAACAACTAATAACAAAATAGAAAAATTATAACAATATACTGTAAAGAAAGTTATGTGGCTGTGGTCTCGCTCGCTCTCTCTCTCTCAAAATATTGTGTTTACTCACCCTTCTTCTTCCAGTGGTGCCATGAGATGATACAATGCCCACATGATGAGATGAAGCGATATCAGTGAATGACGTAGGCAGTGACACATAGTGTCCCTGGCAAGACATTGGAAGATTTCACCACACTACTCAGGAGGGGGCACAATTTAAAACTTACGAATTATTTATTTCTGGAATTTTCCCTTTAATATTTTTGGATTGTGGTTCACTGCAGATAGCTGAAACCACAAAAGCGAAAGTGCAGATAAGGGGGAGACACTGTGTACACATGCATATATATATTTGTTTCTTTATTCATTTATACATATGTGTTTGTGGTCATAGGTGCGTAGATATGTGTTTTAGTTGTGAATTTCCTTCTCTTTACCCTGTTCACTCTCTCTGATGACGAGTAAATTACAAAAGACCAAAGGCAAAAATGATAAATACATATGCCGGACCATCAGTCTCTTAATTTTGGAGAGTTGGCTAAAAGCAAAGTGATTCTTTTTTTTGGGAGAAAACATTCTCTTTAGAGAATGTTAGAGAGAATTGCAAAATGTAGTTAGATGACTAAAAGGAGTTCTAATCTAGTTTTTTTAAAATATTGCTTTCTTGGTACAAAAATAAAGTTTCTTATTATTCCAAAGAGTGATACAAAAAAATAGGTTTTCAGAAATCCTGTTGCTGGAAATGTTCTCTGGGCTTTTACACAGGTGACCATGGGGAAGAGAGTGGCCATCGTTGGAGCTGGTGTCAGTGGCTTGGCTTCCATCAGGTGCTGTCTGGAAGTGGGGCTGGAGCCCACCTGCTTTGAGAGGAGCAACGACATCGGTGGCCTATGGAAATTCTCGGTGAGCTGGACGTCACTGCAATAGACCAGAAAGTGAGGTGGAAAGTGGGTGAGAACACATTGCTTGAGCACAGGCTTCCAAACCAGGTGCCGTGGCAGTTATAATCCCTCCTAGGTTTGGAATCTACAAAGCACAAATCAGAAGCAGGTTGGAAAGTAAGTTCGTTACTTACTTCAGAAGTAAATGAGATTGCATGCTAGCCTTGAAGGTCTCTGCATACAGAATTCACCCCTGATAAATCATTGATGTGTAAGTCACTTGGGGATAAAATCTATGGTGAAATATTGGTTAGGTTCATGTAAAACAGAGTTACACATTTAAAAAACAATGACTCTTCCCATTCTTTTGCTGAGGTTACTAGAGGTCCTCTTAGTGATTCAGACCACAGACTTTAAGGTTTCTGGTGCTAATTTTGGTCTTGCAAAAAACGCATAATTAATGAGACAGCTACACAAGGAACCAAGAATAGGACACACTGATCTGAAGTTGCTCAATGCCCTTTTGTCTCTGTGCATTTGTAACGAGGACTCTATCAGCAGACATGCTTATATGCACTTATTAAATCACTTCCAGTGTTGCCTTACAACCACATCAGTGAGTGTGGGAGCTTCCTAGTGCCCCCCACTCCATCACATCTCCAACCGTAGAAACAGTGTTTGGCCAAGTATTCCCCGTCTGTTTTCTTCTTCTTCTGATAAACTATTAATATATATGCAAATTTAAGTAGCTAGATAATCCTTTTTAAACCACTATTTCCTCCTCAAATGCAAAATTAGTATTATATTTTATGACTCAATAAAAAGGTTGTATATAAGGATACAGTGTCTTTGACAGCTCTTTAAATATTATAAAGAGATGAGCATTATTCTCATTAATATAAATATTTTCTAGACTGTAAAGAACTCTTGAAACCTCCCAGCATCTTGAATAATTCAATCTTTACAATAATCCTATAAGCTACGTATGATGTTTTCCCTTTTACAAATGAATCTGAAGCTTAAAAAGAAAATTAAAAAGTGGTAAATGGTGAAGACAAGATGCCAGTTCAAGGTGGCCTGTGTCTCCAGCCTGAATACTTAACCCCTTTGTTTAACTGCTGCGTGTCATTTCAACAAGCGGCCTATTGAGCTGGCGCGCTCTTCTACACGGTCGTCTTAACCAAATCATCATATTCCAACTGGCTTTGCAAAACATGACTGAAGATACACACTGCTCATATGGCCTTGGAGAGCAGCTGCCCTCTTGCTGCTGAAGGAAGAGTTAAAATTTGAACCTGGCATCATAGAGTGATAGACCACTCAGCTGCTAAATGTGCTACCCTTGGAGAAAAAGGAAAAGCCCAGGGGTAGAATCTCAAACCCAGAGGCTCGAGCCTTGAGCTACAGAGGGTTATTCTCAGGCCTTGACAGCTAACAAAGTTTACCCTACTGGATTTCAAAATTGCTTGAGACTGGTGGCTCCTTTCCTCTTTTCCACTTTTTCCCTTTTGGAATGGGACTATCTATAACTAGTAACATATGCCTGTCCAATCATGGTATTTTAGAAGAAGATGAGTTGTTTTCTAGTTTCACAGGTCCATAGATGGAGAGGAATTTTGTCCCAGGATGGATCATACCCAGAGTCTCATCCATATCTGATTTAGATAATTTTAGATGATGAGACTTGGGACTTTTGAGCTGATGATACATAGATAAGATTCGGGACTTGATTTGATGCTGCAGTGGATTGGGACTTTTGGATGTTAGGATGAGGTGAATGTATTTTTTTCAGGTGGGATGCATGCGAATCTTTAAGGGCCAGACAGTGGACTGTAGTAGGATGAACAATTGAACAATGCCTCCCCACCAAAGTCATCAGGCCGAATTCCTGAACCCTGTAAGTGTTACCTAAAAAGGAAAAAAGGATATTTGCAGATACGATGAAGTTAAGAACCTTGAGATGGTGAAATTATCCTGAATTATCTGAGTGATCTTAAAATGCCATAATATATATCCTCATAAGGGAGAGGCGGGGGAGATTTGGCACACAGAGACAGAAGAGAAAAGGCAATGTGATCTGCTCAGCAAAAAGAGAGAGATTGGAAGATGCTATGATGTGGCCTTGAAGATGGAGGAAGGGGCCATTAGCCTAGGAAGACAGGCGGCCTCTAGAAGCTGAAAACGTCAGGGAATGCTGGCATCCCCCAGAAGCTGTGAGAGGCAAGGAATGGACGCTCCCCTAGAGCCTCTGGAATGAACGCAGCCCCATTAACACCCTGATGTCAGTCCAGCGATGCTGATGTGATTGTAATATTCTAATATTATACTTAAAATGGATATTCTGGGGGCCCTGAAAATTTTGAGTTATATGAGCCCCAATTAGAAATTTCTGGTGCTCAGTGCTTTCCATTATGAACTAGCAACTATACATAGAGATCTGCAATTTGATATTCCTTCAGAGAGAAAACCATTTCAGGTGGAAACTTAATTTTTTTAAGGAAAAAATATTTTTTTCTTTGGAGCACCCTTTGAGGTTTTATTGGCTCTTTAAAATTGAAAATATTATCTTAAAGGGGCTGGCGCCGTGGCGGAGAGGTTAAGTTCGCGTGCTCCGCTGCAGGCGACCCAGTGTTTCATTGATTCGAATCCTGGGCGTGGACATGGCACTGCTCATCAAACCACGCTGAGGCAGCGTCCCACATGCCACAACTAGAAGGACCCACAATGAAGAATATACAACTATGTACCGGGGGGCTTTGGGGAGAAAAAGGAAAAAAATAAAATCTTAAAAAGAAAGAAAATATTATCTTAAAGTTAGATTAATGTTTATCTGGTTTTTCTTTTCTTAAGGATCCTGGTTACTTTTGACCAGATGTTTCCTTAGCAACCATGGCATCTTGCACTTTGGTCTGTCACTAGCTGATACTCAGTAAATCCTGTACTTTAACCGGAGGAAATATGCCTCATTTTCAAGCACCCACGGAACATTTCTAAAACTGATTTTTTAACCAAAAATCCTCAATAATTTTGAAAATATATATATATAAAAAAAATGAAATTCTCTGTTAACAATACAATGAAATAGAACGTTGTAGCAAAATGAAGAAGGGCAACACTGCCACCAGGAAATTTTAAACTTTTCTCTTAAAGATCTATTAACTGATGTTCTAGAAGTTTGAGCCAATCAATAAGACAAGCAATTAATAATAAAAATAAAGAGAAAAATGGAAAGGAGGGAAAATTATCATTTGTTTACTATATAGCTTTATACCAAGAAAATTCTAGGAAAATTGTTACGAAAAATAATACATTAGAGTGGATGATCACAAAATTACTAGATAAAAATCCATAGTTTTTATATATTTTAGAGTTACCAAACCAGCTCTTTTTATACTACAGCTGATCTATTTTATTTGAGCTACACAGTTTTTAAAATTTTGATCCAATATTTTAAAATCAGGATGTTTCACATAAAATCTAGGGATCTTTCTTCTTTTGAAAAATCAGAAGATCAGGCAACACTGGATCTCCCCTTACTCATAGTAATAATCAGCCCCTTTTAGACTGAATTTGAATTCTCTGTTTTGCCATATTCAGGTTTGGCCCATTTCACTCATTTCTTTTATAACTTTTTCTGCACCTATAGAGTTTGTGTGACCAATGCTATATGGAAATAGCAATCCTTTAGGATATATGGAACAAAAGACATACCTATGTGCAAAATTTTCCATCTCCTCCTTCCTCAGGCAGTTTTATGATCCTTTTAGTTTAAATAAACCTTCATGTTTATATCATTATAATCATGTAAATATTGTTCATTGCTGAGTCACTTACTGGATTCTAATGACACTGTCTTTCTTGGACAGTTTTTTGTTTTCACTGGAGTTAACAATTGCCTTGTATTCTTGTTTGTTTTAATTTTACAAATACTATCTCTAATTTATCCCCCAAGTTCTCCCACGGAATTATGATTCTCTCCTCAATATGTTTAAGCTCAGCAGGTGTTCCATCAGCTTAATTCTTCTGAACTCTGTCTTAAAGGTATTCTTCTGGATTGTCTTCCTTCTCTCATCTGGGCCTGCCACATCGCTGGTACCCTGGGGAACCCTGGTTTCTGGAACTCTTATCTTCCTCCCATTTAGTTTATTCTCTAATTTTAACAGAGTACATCAGAGTATGTCCTCCAGTAGTTTGCTGAGAAATTATACCGGTGAGGTAAAAGATTGTAGACCTTGAATGTCTTGTAATACCATTATTCGATCCAGATTCCCAGTTAATTAGATCTAGGTTTAACTTTCAGCTTTCTCTGGTCTGTTCCATCAGTTGTCATTCATCGACCTATGTTCTATCTTCCAAAATGTTATTTCTTGTTTGCTTCTACTTTCCGCTCCCTTGTTTATTCCTTGTGGGTTCATACCCCTGACACCTTTACAGTCACTTTAGAGGAGTTCTGGGTGAAAGAAGAGTTAAATGCATCTACACAATTTGTCATATTTAATCAGAAATCTGGATTACTTTTGTAAACAGAAAAGAATAAAGCTACTTCCATAAATAAGCAGGGTGTGGATCTTTGTTGACCACTCTCCCCCAAAAAATTGTAATTGAAAATGCAATTATGGTCTCTATAAGTCATTCTCTTATGAACTTCCTATATAATCAATTTAAAGGAATCAGTCTATAAACATGGGATTTAAGATACCCTATAACACTGAGTAGGAACAGTAAGATGTCCATGATGTGTTATTAGGTTAAATAAAGCAAGTCATAAATGATGTGTTTAATTGCTGTTACAACTCACTTCTCAGTAAATATGGCCTTTTGGGGACCTAAGAAAAGCTGAAGACCAATGAGTTCAGCATTGCTAGAGAGATTTATTATCCTGGGGCACCCAAAACCTGAAAAAGCACCTCGAGCCTGTCTCAAAGTTTCATATCATTTTTATTACGTGAAACTCCTCCCTTGGTGTAACAGTACATAATTTTTCCCAACTTTGGCCAGCTCCAGGACCTCACTTTTGGCCTCGTATTAATTTTCTATTGCCGCATAACAAATTACTATAACCTTACCAGCTCAAAACAGCACCCATTTATTATCTCTCAGCTACTTAGGCCAGAAGTCCAGATGAGCTCAGCTGGGTTCTTTGCTTAGGGTCTCACAAGGCCAAAACCAAGTTGTTGGCTGGGCTGGGCTCTTATCTGGAGGCGCCGGGAAAGAATCTGCTTCCAAGTTCATACAGGTTGGTGCTGAATTCAGTTCTCTGCTGTTGTAAGACTAAGGTCTTTGTTTCCTCGCTGGCCGCAAGATGGGAATTCCTCTCGGCTCCTAAAGGCTGCCAGTATTCCTTGGCATATGGATCCCTCCATGTCCAAAGCTAGGAACAACAAGCTGAAGTCGCCTCATGCTTTGAAACTCTGACTTCTTCTGCTACTAGCCAAAGAAAACTCTGCTTTTAAAGGGATCTTGTGATTAAATGAAGCCCACATAGCAACATAGTCATGGGAGTGATATGATATTTACAGGTTTCATCCAAACTCAAAGGGGAGAGAACCATACAAGGATGAGGGGCACTGAGTCATTCTTAAAATTCTGTCTACCATCTGCCTTATGTCACAAGTTGAGGGAACAATCATGAGATTGTTGAGTGAAGCATGTCAGCCAACCCTAAAACCCTCACTCTGTCCTGGGAGATCCTCTCTCATCTTCTCCTTGTGGGTTCTTGCTAGTTTTCAATGCTTTATCCACTTTCCATTTCCTTTAAACCAATGTTTTCCACCCTAGAGATAACCACTAGTGTGCTATGAAATAAATTAATGAATGAATCTGCAGTTTTAAATGGAATGTATAGAAAATATCAGAGGGCAACTTGAGTAGTTGAATATGATTTGTTTCATAAAACTTTTGTTTCCATTGTGTGTGTGTGTGTGTGTGTATTGGGTTGCAATATAAAATACATTATTCACCATAGATTGTGGTCAAAAACATTTGAAAAACACTAGTCTAAACACAGCCAAAGTTCCTTCCGCCCTAGGTACATAAGAAAATATTGTGAGCTAATCTGCCAGAACTACCTCATGAAGGGTTAAAGGAGATTTTTTTTATTATGAATTTACTATTTAGCCATTTTAAAGTGTACAGTTCTGTGGCATTAAGTTCATTCATGTTGTTGTACAATCATACCACCATCCTTCTAAGAACTTTCTTAATCTTCCCAAACTAGCACTCTGTTCCAATTAAAAATAACTCCTGGGCCAGTCTGGTAACATAGTGGTTAAGTTCTTGTGCTCCACTTTGGTGGCCCAGGGTAAGCAGGTTGGGATCCCAGGCGCGGACCTAGCACCACACGTCAAGGCACACTGTGGCAGCATCCCACATAAAATAGAGGAAGATTGGCTCAGGTGTTAGCTCAGAAACAATATTCCTCAAGCAAAAAGAGGAAGATTGGCAACAGATGTCAGCTCAGGGCCAATCTTCCTCACCACAAATAAAAAACCAAAACCGGTAAAGATAACTCCTGATTCTTCCCTCTCCCCAGCTCCAGGCAACCACCATTCTTTCTGTCTCTATGAATTTGATTACTCTGAGTACCTCATATAAGTGGAATCATACAGTATTTGTCTTTTTGTGAGTGGCTCATTTCACTCAGTGTAATGGAACTCCTCAAAGTTAATTCCCACAGCAGCATATGTCAGACTTTCCTTCACAAGGGCACACCCGTACGGTGACTAATGGCAACTAGACTCTTGGTGGTGAACACAATGTAGTCTACACAGAAGTTGAAATATAACGATGTACACCTGAAATTTATATAATGTTATAAATCAATGTTACCTCAATAAAAAATTCATTAAAAAAAATTTTTATAACAAATTTTGTGCATCGTGCATTCAGCACATTGCTATTTCAACGAAATGATGTGATACCCATTCTGAAATGTATACAGTGAATTGATTAAAAACATATAAAAAAAGAATTTTCTTTCTTTTTAAAGCCAAATAATATTCCGTTGTACATATATGCCACATTTTGTTTATCCATGCTCGTGAGTTGATACACTGAAATCTTGCAGGGTTGAATTTTGGAAGATATCTATCACTGTATCTAATTGCTCAAAGGAATAAAATAATTCTAATTATGTATTCCTAAAAGGACATAATGAAATTCGGAATTTGTTTCCCTTAGAAAAGATGTTAAGGCAAATATATTTTTCCATATTCTAAATTCTTTTGATTAGCATCAAATTGTTTAAGTGAAGTTAATTAATGCCTCATCTTACTGAATTCACTTGTGAGCAAAGGCTGAGTCAAAATGAGTGATAACTATTTGGAAGTGGCTTTGACTGTGACAAGTAGACTCATTTACAAACTCTCTTCCATTTGAAACCATGCATTCGCAGGACCGTGTGGAGGAAGGCAGGGCCAGCATCTACCGGTCAGTCTTCACCAACTCTTCCAAAGAGATGATGTGCTTCCCCGACTTCCCGTATCCCGATGACTTCCCCAACTTCATGCACCACAGCAAGCTCCAGGAATACATTACTGCATTTGCCAAAGAGAAAAACCTCCTGAAATACACACAATTTAACGTAAGATGGTATCAAAAAGTTAGTTTGGGACATAACTGTGAAGAATTCTATATTTATTTGTTCCTTTCAGTATCTCTTTCTTACTTGTCAACATTTTTAACAGTGTGGCTCTCTGACCCTAGATTTAAAGAATATACATTCTTCTCAAGAATATATGGGAAATTTACAACATTTGACCACATATAATTCTTAGACCAAAATGCCATTTACTTAGAAATCAACATAAAGAAGTAAATGTAAAATAGGCATGAATTTATACATTAAATTTTTTTCTCAACAACTTATGGGTCAAAAAAGAAATTGCAATGGAAATTTTAAAATACTTAGAACTGAATGATAATTTAAATTCTACATATCAATACTTGTAGGAAGCATAGAGATCAAAACTTTCATGAAAATTATAAGCTTAAATTAGAAATTAAGAATGATTTAAAAATTTATAAGATTAGGAAAAGAAAAGCAGAATAAACCCAAAGACTGTAGAATGAAGAAGATAATAAAAAATTAATAAAGTGGAAAATAAAGAATATTAAGAAGATTAAAAGTTCATTTTTTGAAAAGTCTAAAAAATAAACAATAGAAAAATAGCTGACAGTTTGAGGAAAAAAGAGCAAAGTTACAAATAAATAATATTAGAAAGGAAAAAATGGACAAAATTGACATAGATGAAATAAATGAATACTATATGAATACTATTAAAAGTGTTCACCAAATAATTTTTAAATTGGCTAAACTTTTAAATCTCTTTTTAAAAATAATTATCAAAACTCACTCGAAAAGAAGTAGAAAGCCTGCACAGACCTTTAATGACTTATAGTTCTTTTGACTCAGAAACTGAAAATTTTCCTATACAGAAAATAAACAGTTCCATATGTATTTCAAAATTTTTAATGAACAAATTATTTCAATATTTTATAAACTCTTCCAGGGACTAAAAAATGAAGTATGATTCCCAAACTATTCTTTGACTTTATAACCTTGACATCAAAAGTAGACAAGGATAATAGGAAATAGGAAAATTACAGACCAATCTTCCTCAGGAAAATTGATGCAAGAATGAATCCAACAAAGTATTTAAAAAAAGATTGATTGAGTTGAGTTTGGACTAAAGATACAGAATATTTTAATATTATGAAATATAAATGTGTGATTCACTACAAAAACCTGTTACAGAAAGAAAACCATATAGTCACCAAGTTCAGAAAAGGTATTCAATAAAATTTAACACCCATTGGTGCCTGAAAGAAAGAAGAGGAAAGAAAAGGAAACTCTGTCCAAACTAAGATTAGAAGAGAATTTTCTTGACCCATCAAAATATATACAAACATTATCTTAAATCTGCACTGTTCAATATGGTAACCACTAGCCACAAAGTTGAGATGTGCTTGTAAGCATAAAATACACGCTATATTTCAAAGTCTTATTATGAAAAAGAATATAACATACCTCATTCAACAATTTTTATTTTGATTACTTGTCGAGACAGTGATATATCAGATAAATTAGGTTAAATTACACATTTTTTCAATTTTTAATGTGACAACTAAAAAATTTTAAATTACTTATGTTGCTCATATTATATTGCTATGGACGGTGCTGAATCAAAAAGTACAAAGTTAGAATCATTTCCTTTAAAATCCAGAACAAGATAATGATTCTTATTATTATGCCTCTTTTCAATAGTCTTACATTTAAGAAACAGTCCAGTAAGTAAAGAATAATAAATAAAAGGAATGACAACAAGAAAGAAAGAAAATATCATTAATCGTAGGTGATAAGATTTTCTGCGTGAAAATCCAAATGAATCTAGAGGCAAATTACTAGAATTAATAACATTTAATACAAAAAAGTTAGGCAAGGTGATGATATATAAGATCAACATATAAAAATCAATTGCTTTTCTATATGTCAGCAACAACAAACAGAAATTATGAGCCAAAAAAGGAGCCATTTACAGTAGCATAAATAAATAAATAATCTCAGAGTTATTCTATAAATAAATGATGCGCAAGATCTTATGGGTTCATAAGTGCTTATTTTATTATCATGCTTCCTAAGTAGGAAAACATTACACATATAGGTGTATGTGTATTCTTCAGTACATATGAAATACTACGCCATAAAGTTTTTAAGAACAGTTAATACCAGATAAAGATTCTCTTCCTAATATAACCTGAAGAACTGAAAGGTTTTTTTAGAAGAGAGAGCACACCAACAGGCAGCCATTTAGCCGTGAATAAATATTTGCGGGTAATCTAGTCCAGTGATTCTTCCAGCATGAACATCACCTGGGAGCTTATTAGAAATTCAAATTTTCATGCCTACCCCAGACCTACTAACCAAAACATCTGAGGATAACGGCCCAGGAGTCTGTACTTTAACAAGTTTTACAGGTAATTCTTATGCACATTAAAATTTGAGAAGAACTGAAGCTCTGAATATAGATCAGATTTTCATTGTAAGCCAACAATAATGTTAAAAAATAAAATGGCTAAGGAGATACGTTCAGAAGTAGTGGTTGTTACAAAAATCATTAGCCACCAGGTTACTTTATACACGTGGTACATGCCCCTTGTAGACTATGATTGAATTCACTGTCACATCTCCAAGACGAGTCACTCTGTACTGCAGAAAATTGGTCACGCACAAGAAATCTTGTGGGTGTAAAAAAATACAAAATATTCTTTTTTTGGTATATTGGTATAAAATATACATAAGAAATATATATACCACTTAATGTTTGTTCTATTCTGAGGAAATTTTGAATTTATAATATGTTCCTTAATAATGAATTAAGTATTTTTCCTAAGCCACTATCTATTAAGGATTTTTTTCATACTATTTGATGAAGTTGGTGCCAAATCTACCTGTTAGCACAGAAAAGAAGGCCATCTTTCTGTCTTTCTCTTAGACATTTGTAACCAGTGTAGAGAAACATCCTGATTTCTCAATCACCGGCCAATGGAATGTCACCACTGAAAAGGATGGTAAAAAAGAATCGTCTATCTTTGATGCTGTAATGGTTTGTTCTGGACATCACGTGTACCCCAACCTACCGAAAGAGTCCTTTCCAGGTAAGGCTGAAATTTAGGCTGCCAACTACACATCTGGCATAGATGAATATCTTGATAATGTCTTTTTATATATAAAAGTACAAACAGATTAAATTAAAATATGCTTCTATTATATCTAACATACCTGGAGGGTTAAAATTTCATTTTGCTGTGACTGCATTCACCCGCAAGTTCTCTCACAGCAGTTTTTTAAATGGAAATCACAATGATTCATATGTTTCCCACCTTTCGCTCAGGACTAGAACTTTTTAAAGGCAAATGCATCCACAGCCGGGACTATAAGGAACCAGGAGCATTCAAGGGGAAGAGAGTCCTGGTGATCGGCCTGGGGAATTCGGGCTGTGATATCGCCACGGAACTCAGCCACATAGCTAAACAGGTACCACTTCCCAGGTGTTTGGGGACTATCTTTAAAGGGACAGAAACAGTAACCATTTGAAAGGTATGATATGAAAAGGGGTGAGGGGCAGGGACTTGATGCAAAAACTTAGCGGCATTTCATATAGCCCAACTTCCCTCAGTGACAGGTGAGGTTTTAAATAGCTTGATACAGCAAAGACAGAACATCAGCAAGGAGTGACGTTGTTGTTCGACAATCTTCTTCAAGACATTTGGTGTCCAGCATGTGTCTGATCAATTCTTCCAAAGCTAGTGTGGATTCAGGCTTAAGGTTATATCTCTGAGACTCTTGGGTAAATCCCTCAATCCCTCTGAGTGTCGGTTTTCAAGAAAACAGACAAAAATAGAAAGTATTTTCTGAGCTTGTTAAGGAGTTAAAGCATTTGAACATGATTTCAGCAATATGGAGTTCTATATGCATTCATTCATGTGTACGGTCATGCATGGCTATTTGTTGAGAGCTTCCTATGCGCCAGAAAGTGGCTTGGGTGTTGGAGAGAGAGTGGTGAACAAAACAGACATGATACCTGTCCTGGAACTCAGAGTCCAGTGAAGAAATAGATATTAAATTAGTACAGGCAAGGAGGTATAATTTATAATTATGAAAAGCATTAGTAAGGAAAAGAACAGCATGCTATAAGAGTGGATCATAGGGATGACCTACGTGAGACTGGGAAGTGGAAAGGCCGTTTTGAGCTGATGACATTTAAGCTGAGAGCTAAAATTTGAGAAAGAGGCACAGTGTCAGAATAGGAGTACAGGAAGAAGGTCTTGAAGCAGGAAGAAGCCTAGAGCTTCAAGAAACTGAGAGAAGGCCCCTTGGCTGCAACCCAGTGGGTTTGGAAAAGAATGGTGTGAGATGTTGAAGAGAAGATGGAGAAGAGGTGATAGAGGACCCTTTGGGGCACGTTAGGGAGTTTAAACAAATGCCACCTTCCTGCTTTGGAAGATTCTTTAGAGATTAACTGCCCAGAAGCCCCAGATGGGAATCCTATCTCCAGATGTCACGCCTACTGATGTCATACTGGTTATCCCCAACATAGGTCCATTTTATAATATAGCAGTATGATCAATGAAGCAAGGAGATCAATGGCAGCACAAAAGGAATAAAAATATATTTCTATTTATCCGGTCAAAGCACTATGCTAGAAACCATAGAGGCACAAAGAAGTCAACTACGTGGCCCCTCAAGGAAAATGTTTGGGAAAATAATACATTGATAGCATAGATTAAACATAACCTCAAAAGTTAAGTGGAAAGCATGACAACAGTACAAGAGCTGCCACTGGAATAAAGGATAAACAAGTGACTCAAGAACTAAACGCTATGATTACAGAACTGGAGGCTCCTCAAAGCGGGTAGACCTGAACCAGTCCTTGAAGGACATGTATAAGTCACATGGTTGAAGAGGTGGCAGAGGGTGTTTTTGGGAGGGAAAATGACATGAGCAAAGGTATGGAGACAGGAGTGAGCCCTGCCTATTTGACTATGTGGATTTGTCTTGCTGGAAGGGAGGTTCTTAATAATAACAATTTGTATAACGCATTATGGTACTCAAGTGCCTGCTTATGAATGTGCTCCCTTGACTGCAGGAAGAAAGTAGTCTGGGTTTTACTATGCCCAATTCAAAGAAAAGGCAACTGAGAACTAGAAGAAATGTCAATTGCCTTCTTAAAATTCATAGAGGAAATTAATACTTGAGCCACTAAAGTGTTAGAGGACTGAAGGCCAGATCTGATTCCAAAGAACAGAGTAGCTATAGGAATTGAAGGAGAAAAGAAAAATTGGAATCAGGTTATGTCATATGCTTTAAGGAATTCAACGACAGGCTACAGAATTTGGATTTCTCCATAAATAGTGGTAAATCATTTCAGCTTCTTGAGCTAAGGAAAAATATGATGAAACTATAGTTTTAAGAGATTCATTCATTCATTGTATATAGGATAAATTAGAGGGAAGAAAGACCAACTTCAGAGGCTCTCAACAAATTGATCCTTTGTCTCTGTTTAGCTACCATTATGAGAAATGCCTTGAAGTGAGATTATAGGTAATAACTGTAAAAAAGAAAAAATACCTGAAAAACTTCACTGTTGGGGATTAACACAACAGAAGGAGGAGGAAAGGAGCTCATACTCCATGCCAGGCAATGTTAGCTATATAGCATGGGTTATCACATTGAACTAATCCTCACACAAATTCAATGTGGCGGGAACCTATGAGCTCCATTTTATGAATGAAGAAACTGAAGATTAGAGAGTTTAAAGGAATTTGCCCTAAATCACATCACCAGTAAGTAGCCGAGCCAAGATTGGAGCCCATTTTCTGAATCCAAATTCTGTTGGGACAGTGGTAGGCATTTTAGGTCAAAATGCCTATTTGGGGATCATAGTCGCTTGTTTGTAGACAATGATCATCAGATAAGCACTATGGAAAATACGACTAGACTTCAGTTATTGGTCATCTACTCCAGAGAAGGTTTTATTAAAATACAAAAATTTGCCTGGAAGAGTATGACGGGATGGTTGACCCTGAGATGTAGATCAGCGTGGAGGAGGCTTATTTGAGAGTGCTCTCTGGTTCAGTACTTCTGCAGGAAGGGAAGGAAGCCTCCCTTAGCCTTACTCTGAAGCTGGGGTAGTCCTTCCACATTGTCCCAAATTGGGGTGAGGTGCTGTGGGCCTATAAATCATTGCATCAACCAATCACTGGATGCAGGGAGTCCAGAGAAGGTATAAGACCTTGCGTGAGGCTCCTCTCTTCACCCAAAGCAACTCCCAGAGAGGGCCAACAGCTGAGGGCTGCCTCTGACAGCGCTCCCTGCAGTTGGCGTAATATACTCATTCCTAAAGTGGGATCTGGGGAGCAGACCACAATATCCACTACAAACAATCACTACTTCACTGGCTGAATTGGTGTTTTTTTCAAGGTCATCATCAGCTCCAGAAGTGGCTCCTGGGTGATAACCCGGGACTGGGATAATGGCTATCCATGGGACATGATGCTTGTCACTCGATTTGAAACCTTCCTCAAGAACAATCTACCGACAGCCTTCTCTGACTGGTGGTACATGAAGCAAATGAATTCAAGATTCAAGCACGAGAACTATGGCTTGATGCCTTTAAATGGGTAAAGTAGAGTTAAACATGATATGCCTGCTAACTTTTATTTCAATGTCAGCAATCCTAATGTGTTGCAAGCGTCAAACAAATCAAAATAGTATTAGTAGAATAATCACATCTCACATTTCAGAGGATAAAGAACTGCAAAAATTAGGAGTGGTTTCCTGTTTCACAATCCTCCTTACCAGATTTGCACAGCTGGAAAGTTGTATAACACCTCTAGTCCCTAGAGTAATGACAATAATCATTAACATGTTTTAGGCACTTAATACATGTCAGAGCCTTGTTGAGGCTTAACAAAACTCTGACACGCACTATCTCGTTTTGTCCTCACAATAACTATCAGGAAAAATCTATTATTATGCTCATTTTAGAGATGAGAAACTTCGCCAAAGACCCAAAGCCAGGAAGCAGAAGCAGCGTTCAAAACAAAGCCAGATCTGCTGAGTTCAGAGCCCCTCACTCATAGCCACCTTGCTCTACTGCCTCTCACTTGACGGCAGAGCTAAGTTAAGCCCAGGGACTCTCCTTGTGCTCCACTCTCACCACTCGCCCCTTAACATGGCCATAATGTCTGCATCTTAAGTGTCCTCCTCACTCTCTCCTAAAATATCCCCTAAACCAGTCACAGGATAAGAAATTACTTTGATGGAGGTGAAAAACCCAAGTGTTAAACCATTTACATCAAAGTGAATTCATTGATTCAACAAATATTTATTAAACATTTATTATGTGCCAGATCCTGTGTTAAGCCCTGTGGAAACAGAAATGAACAAAATAGGCAAAATCCTTGAACTTATGGAGCTTGCATTCTAGTAGTGGGAAAGAGGCAATGAAGAAATAGCAGAAGATCATACGGTGAGGTGTACTGTAGAGAAAAAACAAAGCAGGCAAGGGAATGGAGAGTGCCATCAGGACAATTCTAAATGGTGTCCTCAGAGGAGGTCTCACCGAGAAGGACATTTTGAAGCAAGTTCCTGAAGGAGAAGAAGTGAGCCATGAGGATATCTGGGGAAGAGTATTCCAGACAGAGGGCTAGGGCATTGCCTCTTCAGGGGCATCACTGGCATGTTCAACAGATTGCAATGGGCTTCTCTTCCTGGAGAAAAGATGGCTAGAGAGAGTAGCAGAAGATGAAACTAGAGACATCAAAATAGTCAGGTGGCATTGGGCCTTGTAGGCCATTGTAAGGACTCTGGCTTTTACTCCTAATACAATGGCAAGCCATTACAGACACCTTAGCAAATTAGGGACAAAAATCTAAGTTAGTTTGAGGAGATCACTCTGGTTGCTGTGGTCATCATTCAGTGTGTGGGGCGCGGGGGGGGCTAGGTCAAGGAAGGAAGTAAAAAGACTAGTTAACAGACTTATGTCAAAAACCCAGATGAGAGGAGATGGTAACTTAGACTAGGGCTGTTAGCAACGAGAGCTCAGAAGTGGTCGGATTTTGGATATAGTTTGAAGGTAAAAACAAACAGGATTTTGAGTTAGATTGGATAAAGGATATGAGAGCAAGAAAAAGGTCAAGGATGTCTTCCAGAGTTTTGATCTGAGCCAGGATGCAAGGATGGAGTTGACATTTACTAAAATGTGGAAGACCACAGGAGGAGTTTAGTTTTAGGCAAATCAAAGTTGAAATTCCTATTAGACATTTGAATAGAGGAATGCTGAGTAGCAGTGGGAGACACAATGCAGAAGAGAGATTCAAACCATAAGTTAAAAATGTGGATTCAACAAAATATAGACAGTACTTAAAGAAACTAGATGAAATCTCTTGAGGAATGAATGGAGATGGAGAAGACAAAAGTTCTGAGGGCCGAGTTCTTGGGCATATCATTGTTAAGAAGTAAGGAAGAGGAGAAGAATTCAGCAGGAGACACTGAGAGACAATAGGAAGAAAAGGTAGGAAAGGAATCCAGAGAGACTGATGACTAGAAGCAAAATGAAGACAGTGTTTCAAGAAGGAGGAAACCATCAACTGTGTCAAAGGCTGCTAATAAGTTGAGTAAAACGAGGAGAGTGGACTATTGGATCTGGCCCACTTGATCCATCAAGTGGGTAGCTTGAAGATCCTGGTGGCCTTGACAAGTGCAGCTTCAGCTTGGTGGTGGGAGTGAAAGCCTGATGGCAGTGTGTTTAAGATAAATGGCAGGTAATTCTCACAGTTGAGTCCAGCTTTTTTCCAACCAGAATTCCAACCAATCTCATTGTCCAGCTCAGTCTCATCCCCAGTGGAATCTACCTGGGCTCTCTCTCACAGCTCCCACAGTCCTACAAGAACAAAGCCTTTTCTTCAACATTATCCATCTTCATCTCTAAATTCAGATTTATCTGCACTCACTAGAGATATTACTGAATAAAAAGTAGTCAACAGCTCTCTCTTTCAAGACTTCCACTGAGCAAGGCTTCAAACTGGCCCTCTCCTTCACCTGGTCTTATTTAACTTCCGGGACCTTCCCTCCCTCACCTGACTTGTGCCTTAGTCTGCATGGGGCTGACACTTTGTCTGTATGGGAGAGCTGGCTGCAGCTTTCCCACCGTGGCTTCCTTCCTCTATTTGATCTTCTTTACATCACAATGGCCACTTTGGAGTATACTGTGTTAGGAATAATGGCTAACATTTTCTAGCACTGTCTATGTGCTACAGACTATGCCAAATTCTTTATATTATTTAGGTCTCCCAGTGACCTGACGCAGATAGAATTGTTACTGCCACTCCCAGTGAGAAAGATGAGACACAGAGAAACTAAAAAACCTTCATCTGATCAAAGTTCACAGTTAATAGGTTGCAAAGAAAAATTCAAATACCTGGGTACTCTGACTCTAGGACTTTTCCTGATATAGACTTTAACAGGGGATAGGGCCTGGCAGGTTTATTCTTGGATTTGGAGAAAGATCTGTAGAAGAGAAAAGGATCACAGGAAATAGAGAAGACATCAGCAAAGGGCGACTTCTGTTACTTCACAATGTTGCCTTACATCAGTTTTGTTCTTCAACCATACTGGTGACACTCAATGGCATAGAAAAAAATCTTGAGTAGTTTTCTCCTTCCTTGTTAATTAATTATGAATAATCATTAATTATTATGAATCAATAAAACAAAGAGGAAATATTAAAGTTCTTGTGGTTGTCTCTATTTTCCATGCAGAACATTGAGGAAGGAGCCTGTGTTTAATGATGAGCTCTTAGCTTGCATTCTCTGCGGAAGAGTGTCCATTAAGCCTAATGTGAAGGAGTTTACAGAGACTTCAGCCATTTTTGAGGATGGGGCAGTGTTTGAGGCCATTGATTGTGTCATTTTTGCAACAGGCTATGGTTATGCCTATCCTTTCCTTGATGACTCAATCATCAAAAGCAGAGACAATGAGGTCACCTTGTTTAAAGGCATCTTCCCTCCTCAACTGGAGAAGCCCACCTTGGCAGTGATTGGCCTTGTCCAGTCCCTTGGGTCTGCCATTCCCACAGCTGACATGCAGGCCCGCTGGGCAGCACAAATAATAAAAGGTAAGTAGATAAAGACACTCATTGATGGGGAAGATGGATGCCAATGAGAATGCCTTTGGGTCTTTGTAAAAACGATAATCCTAATAGCAAGGGACAAATCCTAGGTCCCATGCAGTTTGGAGACCCTATAATTCTGTATTTTGGGTACTATATTTTATAAGCACTTTAAAATATATGCATTGCATTATCATATGCAACAGTACAAGATATTAATAGAGGAGTTTTTTGTGATTTGTAACTCCTTAGAGCTGTAAATTACTTAAGATCTTTCATTAAATTTAAGAACACCAGAGCTCCTGGTCTTAGGTGCATGACAACTTTATAAAATTATGCTTTCAAAAATCAATAGAATGGCATTATTTGAAAGGTTGACAAGAGAAGATATTTCCAAGCCAATATCCAGTCAAATTCAAATATCCAGTTATGGAAAAAATTATGATTTTTGGAAAGGCAGTGGCTTTTCTCCTTTATTTTCTTCCCTATCATGTGTCAGATAAAGACAAGCAGGGGATCATTAGAGGCAGGAAGTACTAGGTATGGTAGACGGTCAGTCTCTAAGGTATAGGAATACTGAATTCCTGTATTTTAAAAAGAAAAAGGAAACAACAAACTTGATTGGGGTCAGGCAAGGAAGGCAGGCAACATCCTCCAATAGCAGATACTGGGATCAGAGTCACACTAAGGTATGACTTATGATTTGAATGAAGCTGTGAGCAGATTCATATCCTAAGACCAAACAAGGCCACGGTTAAAGAACAAATAGAGGTGTCAAAGTTTAGTTAGACCTAGAGATGAAAAACTCCTGTATGAGAGATCTTAACAGCCCTGCTTCCTTTGAAGCCACATGTAAGGCTTCTAGTCCTACCTGACTTGCTGGGGTTTAAAGGCTCTTTCTATACAGGAGTTTGGGACCTGCCACTACTTATCTCGGGCCACCTCTCCCCCCTAGGCTGCCATCCATGTCTTTATAGTCCTGCACTTCAGTGACCCCCTGAATCTCCTTCACTTTCCCTTCAGGCAGAGATGTGTTGCAGGATGATGTTGCTCCAGTTTAGGCAGCAGCCAGGAAGGTGATTGCATGAAATTCTATTCAGAAAGAAGTAAGCTTAGGGTTCAGGCTCAGAGAGACTGGCATTAAAGGCTGGGACATTTATTCCCTGTGAGGACAAGAGTTGTAACTTGGGCTCTGAAGAAAGAAAAGGCAGAGACCCAGTCAATGCAGAATTGATGTACAAAGCAAAGACTCAGTCTTAGGGGAAATGGGAGATAAGTCAAACAATCCAATTGGGGGAACCAGAATGACAGGACAGAGGGGCCAGTTACAAGTCACCGAGTGGAAGTAGCTGGTGGGCTATTGAGCACAGCCTCTTTCTTCTTGATCTCTCCTTCTGCCCAAGGACAGGATGGGTTGCAAGGTTTGGAACAAAGCCATACCTACAAAGGCTGTTCAAGTGACCCTGCCTATAAGGATTGCAGGAACAGAGACCTAGGCAAGTCGCTGTAGATCTTGAGGAATCAGATCTGGGCTGGGAGTTCTAATCTAGTTCAAGGGGATCCCAAAATTGCCAAAGAAACCACCCTAAATTTGAAGGGTCTCTGGGCACAGAAGCATGTTTTAGTCTGGGTCTCAGAGAACTCCGTAAACCTATGCCAGAATGAGCCTGAAATCCTGGGACAGCCCCAACTCGGATCTGGTCTGCTGGGGTGACGTCCTTGGTGAGTTGTGAACAGTCCATACGCTCAGTCTCATCCAGGAACTGTTGGCTCTTCAGAGAGAAACTTGGGGCTTTGTTAAATTGTATATCTTATCTGCTGGAAATTCTCTTTTCTGGAAAAGCAGGATAATTTCCTATAAAGTTTTTCTTCTTAAATCCTAAAAAAGAGATGCCAATTTACCTTTGTTTGGCTATAATTTATTAGATAACATTCTTATAAGTACAGCTGAGAGATTAGAAAATAATCCTTGAAACTGAGTTTAAACATCTGGTAACTAGCCTAAGAGTAAAGATACAAAGCTATTCTGGTAGTGGTTTTTAATTATTGTGACAAGTACTAGTTCTGAGAAGACTGGGAATGACTTATTTGTTTGTCTCAAAATGACCACATGTTCACTTGCTCAAGATTTTATTTTGCTAGACAGTGACAAAAATATTGGAAATACTAATATGATTCATACCTCATAATTAAAGAGAAAAAATTGCAAGGTAGTCCTATGCCAGACTTGTTTAACTATTACCTGTCTTTCCTTCTTTTTGAGGAACTTGCACTTTGCCTTCTGTGAGAGACATGATGAATGATATTGATGAGAAAATGGGGAAAAAGCTCAAATGGTAAGAACGTCTATTGTCCAGGGGTCCAGAATTTCCATAGAAAAGTCTGAATTTGTGAATACTTGGAACTGTTTTTTGTCTTAAATAGTCCTGAGTGAGGTCATTAGGGTGACAGTTAGGAGCTAAATTCCTCCATTCAACAAGTATTTATTGAGGATTTACTTGGATCCTGACACCGTACCAAGTTGTGTTTTCTGCAAGACAGTGAACTGCAACAGTGGACTGAGAAGCTACATGATACAGTCAGTTTTAGCTCTCCATGGCTCCTCAATACATCGCAGGAAGGAGATCCAGAAAGGATCAGAAATTACAGGAGTTAGGAGAACATGGATGTGGATTTCTGTTTTCTGGCCCATAAATCCTCTGAGAGGTAGAGGATGGGATGCCTTCAAACAGATGGCTCTAATGCAAACGACTCAGCAAAATGAGGATGAGTAGAGACAACCAGGCTCCAGTCCTAGCTCCGTTACTAATTAGTTCAATGGCCATGAACTATAACTTCATTTAAGCAAGAGACAATTTCTCCATTTGTCTATGGGGATAAAAATGCCTTTCTCAGCTATCTTGCAGTGTTGGGGAATGTCCAAATGAGATCAATGTGAAAGTTCTTTGAAAAAAACTGCAAAGTACAGGACAAATGAACAACATTCCCATTACCAATACAAGGGATGGATGTTGGTTCTCACTGATAAAAAGCTTTGAAGAGTTTTCCCCGCTCTTGTTTCTACAAAGTATCTACACAGAGCTTGGATATCCTCAGTGCTGTTTCCTCTCTCATTTCTAGGTTTGGCAAAAGCGAAGCCATACAGACGGATTACATTGTTTATTTGGATGAAATTGCCTCCTTCATTGGGGTAAAGCCCAGCATCCCATGGCTGTTTCTCACGGATCCCAAGCTGGCTGTGGAAGTGTTCTTTGGCCCTTGTAGTCCATATCAGTATAGGCTGGTGGGCCCAGGGAAGTGGCCAGGAGCCAGAAATGCCATCCTGACCCAATGGGACCGGGTACTGAAACCCACGAACACGAGAGTTGTTGGGAGTCCTCAGAAACCTTGCTTATTCTCCCACTGGCTCAAGCTCCTTGCTATTCCTATTCTATTCATTGCTATTTTCCTTGTGTTGATTTAATCATGATGCCCTCTAGGACTCTGAAAGTCACCAACAATACCTGAACTTTGCTATTTAAAAATTAAGAATTTCACACCTTCCACTTTCCTATTCAGCAAGAGTCAGTAAAACAGTACTATTTCTAGGCTTTTAAATAAGCCCCTTTAAGAATCATATCATCATCTGAAGAGGGCATTTATCATTTCTTTTAGGTTTCACTACCAGTCCGTAATCAGGAAGATTTTCTCTCTCTCTCACCTAAATCATCTCCTGAAACATTTTGACATGATTTCTTTTCTCCTTTAAACAATGTTTGAAATATGTACTCTAAATCTAAACAAAGAGCAAATTAAGCAGAGTAGTTATGACATTCTCAGGCTACCTCTGCAAACCATTTGCAGGACGGAGGGGAGAGTTTGGAGATTACATTCTTTCTGTTGTATGCTGCATCCTCCAGGCGATGACTCCTGTTCCCCACCAAGAAACACAGCATGGAGTCCTGCTCTATAAGGAAAGTTAAGGAGAAGTAACTCATTTTATTTATATTCTCAATAAGGAAACAAACTTTCCAGAATGTAGCAGCAAAATAACAACAACAAATAGAACTCCAAATATACCTTTTGTCTGAATGGAAAGTCTTTTAAAAAATTACATAGTTAGTCAAAACTATGAGCTAAGTTTAACACTACCCTTATAGAATGAACTCCTGGGGTATCAGAATAAAACTAAATTTTATTTTTTAAAGTATTACTACATTTTATAATTAAAATTTTGATATTTAAAATTTTTAAAGTTTGACCTTATGGAGCAGATAATGTAATCTGTCAGCACTGTCAGTCACCAGGGGACCTCCACAGCATGTTAGAGTCCGTATTTCCTGCCACGCCTTCGCTTCTAAGTGGGCCAGTGGGACAAGAAGATCTAGATATGGGAGGGCAGCAGGAGACCCGATTTCCTTCAATACTTTCTTCTTTTCTTTTTTTTATTCTCTTTATATTTTATCCTTGGAGCTAAGATTTATCATGAATGTTGTTATACACAGTTTTAAATCTTTCGCTTTTCCTAATTGTTGAAGGTAGCAAAGTAATATTCTGCTTTTAAAGTCTTCTCACAATATGTGAAATATTCCCAAGTGAAAGAGAACTTTTCTTGAAACCTTGTGGCCTAACTGGAATCACGTAACTGAAAATTAAATAAAGCTCATAAAGTTTACTTTGTTTGATGTTATAAATGCTAGTGCACAAAATAAGTTGGAGATTAAAATTGCCATAGTCCAATTTCTATTATTCTTCCTTCTATGATTGTTTTCATAAACATTGTCTCATAAAGGATATTATATTCTTCCTAAGCTAATGTAGCCAACACACTGTCTTAATAGTCTAATTAGTGTCAATCTATTTCCATACTAACTGAACTATTACCAATGTCTTAACTACTTTTGTACACAACAGTAATGATTTTCAATCATTCATTTTTGCATAGTTTACTCTGAGAAAACTAAATATGTATATATTTATACCTCAACTGACTTAAAAAATTTGAGCATATGAAGCACAAAAGATTTTTTTCACTCCCAATTTTATCTAGAAATTTTTACCAGTATTTAAAAGTGCACAGTCAGATATTAAAAATAAAACTAAATGAAAATTTTCTCTGTACAGCTGACAGAGCAATGCTGATTAGATCTGAAGTGAACCTGCATGGTCGCAGGATTATTGCCCACACCCAGTTTCCAGAATGGGAGGAAGGACCCTGAAGTGGGCTTTTGGCTGTTCAGCCTTCTAGAGGTTTCAAGCTTCTGAAACCAAGTCGTAGTTTTTAGCCAAATACCGAGGCCAAAGCCCAACTCCAGTGTGTCCCACTACCAATCTTCCTTGCATTCCTCTTTTCCTTCCTCTTTATCTTCCTCTTCTTTCCTCTTTTTTACTATTTTTACTTCCTTCTTATTTTTTCTTTCTCTAACTTCTTTGTCTTCCTGCCTCCCCTTCCTTCTTCCTTCTTCCTTCTCCTTCAGCTGAAATGATCGGAAGCAGGACTATTCGTTTTGAAGGACTCTTGGATCTTCTGGAATGGTATCCCAGATGCTAACCCCAGTCTTCTAAGAAATAGGTATATTCTTGCAGATGTAACTACCTAGCCGACTCAACTTTATGTAAGATCCAACTTCACCATTCATTTCAGCCTCTGCTCAAATGTCAATTCTATGTAACAATTCAATCTCTCGTCACTCTCTACCCTCCTGTCCCGCTTTGTTTCTCCTCATGGCATCTGATACAGTCTGTACGCATTTGTGAATGTGTCTCCTTACTAGAACATAAACTGTGTGAAGACAGGACCATTTTGTCCAGAGCTGTATCTCCAGTGCCTGGAACCATACCTGGCACCTACTAACCAACCAATAAGTATTAGCTGTTCCTGCTGAAACTAAGGGTTATTCAGCCTCAGTCAAAACGTTCTAGATACAAAGCATTAAGTACAAGAGGATAAGAAATGGCTGTGCTATGGGTGACTGTTTTAAAATGTAGATTTTGTTATTATTCAGATATGGTGAGGCCAACAGATCAGGAGACGATTGTCATTGAAAAACTTGTTTGTTATACTCACAGATCTTAAGAGGAGGGGGCACGCCACACCACAGGGGGCCACATGAAGAAGCACCAGAGTCAGTCAGGAGGCAGAGGAAAGTGAAGGAAAAACACGGGCAAGAGCCTTTATTGCGGTGTCCTTGGGAAGGTACAATCAAGGCAGGGGAAGCAGGCTTAGGATTGGCTAGTTTGAATAACTTCAGCAGGCTCTGGGGCACAGGGCTGTCCCTAGCTGTCTGATACCTGGCTCTGGGGTGATCAGGGCTGGTGGGTAGTAGCCCCAAGAATAAGAGCCCAATAAAGGAGGTGGTCGGAGTGTGGATTTGGGATTGGTAGGCTTGCTTATGAAAGGCACACTCCTCAGGCCAGGTGAGTTGTTTGCTAGCTCTAGGAATTAGCTAGCCCTGAGAGAGTGGCAGTCCCTCCAGGGTTAGCAAAACTCCGAGATGTCAGAGCACCAAAAATACAGAATGAAGAGACATGATTAATACAATGGCCAACTCTGTCCTCTGGGGGGAAGAAAAAGGCAGGAGTCAGACCCTAAGAGGGGAGGGCTTCAGAAAGCTAACTGACAGTGGTTGAAGTGAGGTAACAAAGCCAACTCCCGGGAGCCTAGAGTGGTGGCAGAGGCCACCAGAAGGCTATAGCAGCTGTATGACAAGAGTCTAGAAACCCCTGCTGTCTTTAAGCCAGGAGATTTAGTGGAAAACCATCTGCTCTCAAGGCAATTAGTTAAAAGGTGAACATTCCTAACACTGGCCTTCCACATATGGGTCATTTTGGTACTCCGAGAGGAAGTCTTGCAAAACTATGTCTGTTTAAGCACTTTTATCTATAAAATTAATTTTCTTCTATTTGAATAAAAAATACATGAAGTCCTTTTGTCAGGATTTTTTTCCTTGAATATTTTTTTGAATATATAATTCACCTTCCGTTAGTTTTGCCTGTTCTATAGTGCTTAATAACAACATGTTGGAAACAAGCCAAGTGTCTATAATAAGGAGTTAAGTGTCCCCTGTGTCTCCCACACCCCTGGAATATTGCACTGTGCTCTCCCAGAAACCGTTCTATTATTATTATTGCCTTCCAAAGCCAGAAAGGAGCCCCTGCTGGCCAAGGCTTGTGCTTTTAAAATATAACAATATATATTTTTTTTAATTCATGCATGCAACATACCTTTTGGAAGCTCTCTGTGAGGGCTGGGCCCTGTGTTAGGTGATAGACACTTTCCTTGTCTCCACAGAGTTTACAGCCTGGGACGTGAGAACCAACATTGACAAGCGCATGTATAAATTTACTCCTTTTCAGGTCGCTTCCACCTTTGAGCAATAAACATTTGTGATTTTTAATTATTCTTTTCTTTCTCTTCACATAAATCTTCTGATTCTCCATGCCTGTGTATTACTATGCTATAATCTAGAGAGAGTCTTAATCAGATGTAACAGTTTATTAAAATAAAAGTCAGCTATCTGTTGTTCTCAGTAACAATTGCAGCAACATGAGATTGACAGGGTTTCACTCATAAATTCTCTTTGCCAGCATCTCAGACCAGTTCCCCAAACGTTAACTGATAAGCTATTATGGCCAAGCCGCCATGCTAAATGCTAGGATGAAAAGGCTGATTTAGATATGGTCCCTGACTTCTGTCAGTTGCAGTCTGATATGTTACAAGAGAACTGAAGAAAAATCTCACTTTGCTTTGAGCGAGCAAAAACACTTTTATGGAAATCCATCCTCTGTGCTCCCAACAGTCCAAAATTTTCAGAAATTGCAAGCACCTGCTCTCAGTTTAGAGTTTAATGAAAGTATTAAAGCTTAGTTACTCCCCAGAATAATCCTTTGACATAGGTCTTATCACCAAGTCCTCTCAGAGGTCAAGAGAAGCCTGAGACATTTTTTCTTTACCAGAATATTTTGTTAATGAAGAAATGTCAGAAAAATTATCAAAATTATAATTTACTTTAAATGTTTATATAGGACAAATTAAAACTTTAAAACAAAAGAATACGATGCAATATTGCGTATATATTCACCATATAATTACAGGTTTTATTACAAAAATAGAGATTCATATTACCCTAGCCATACCCAAAGATACAGCTGCAAGTCAAGATTTTAAGATAGATAACTTCTTTCAGTTCTATCACTGTGAATCTGTGACTACATGTGTAATCTCATTTGGAGATGACATCAGAAGTATGAATGTGAGGCTCTTTAGGAATGTGAGTACTGGGCCAACTGGCCTCTTTGATGGCCCTTCTGATCAAGATGTTAGCGATCAATGGTCCTCAATACAGTTCAGTGAAATGCCCCTTTTAATAGCAAGTAATTAGTAACACTCGGTTTACAGTCCTAACGTGAAATTTATACATAAATTGATCACCCTGGTCCACTATTATCACCATCTCTATCTAGACAGCATTGCCCTGGGTTTTTAGGACACAACACCGTTCTCCAAGAGCTGTCATATTTACTTTAGCATCCTCCTTTCACGAGCAACGTGTAAGCTGACCGGGACATTCTCTGTGCCCATATTACAGATGAGGACATAAAGACTCAAGAGGTAGTGGTGGATGAGGGACCTTCCAATTCCTTGACAGGGTGAGGGTTACTCTTATGACAAAGCATAGGAGGAAAGCACCAACAATCCAGAAGTCCAGCTCTCTGGGGACAGTTTCTTTGGGTTAAGATAACACTATTTAACAAAGGAAATTCCGACTACCCTTTCTAATCCTGAGATGCCACCTACATCACTCAAATCTTTTCCTACAGACTTTAGTACCCACTGTATTCACAACTCCTTTTCACAGACTCAGTTACCACACTTAGCTATGGATGAAGCCCTGAAAATAAACAGCTTGCTAAGTTGGAAACACAAGTTGGTCAGAACAATTGTCCGTTTTTGATTGCCAAAAGGATTAAGTTGTAACCCCACACCCTACATGGAAATGTATAGCCTGCTGCTTGTTGTGTAACTGTGTGGGTATCTGACAGAGACTGCAGTTGTGTCTGGGTCAAGTCCATGACACAGGCATGCAGAAAGCCCAAGTCACTCCCTGACATTAGGACAAACTATGGGGGCAATGATGTTTCCTTTGAAGTGACCAGCTTTCCCTTTCTCCTTTTGTGCTCCTTAGAATATTTTCAATGTCACTCAAATATCCACTGCTTTCATATTTCTTCTGCTTTCATGCTAACCTCAATGAAAGATCTATAATTCATTCCCATTAAGGATTACTGAAAACAGCTGAAAATGTCACCTCTCCTCGGGGGAAGTATATTTCAACATCTAATTCTTGACATATGGGAAGCTGGACCTCAACTGCAGGCTGGTGTGGAAGGGAACAAAGCCCCAAATCATGTAGGCCACAGGCTTATGTTACTTACCTGCTCATTCCAGGACTAGCACCGCAGATAGGTGGCCAGTGGTCAAAACCTCAGTGTCCAACTTCAGTGTCCAATTCCAGTTGCCAGAATGCCTAGGTGATATCCAAGAGGAGAACCAGTTGGCGATTTCCTGGTCATAGCAACAATGAAAACAAGGTGGTAAGTTTCCAGGTGGTGGCGATTGTCAAAGTCTTGCAGATAGTTCTGGAAGAACACTGTGATTCTTAGATGGTCCACCTA